CGGTCCGATATTTATTTTGAGGGACCGGTAATTATTTTGTTCGGTCTGGTTTTTATTCCGTTCGGTTCGATAAAATATTATTCGGACCGATATTTAATTATTCAGAGTTATTTTAATTATTTGGAGTTATTTTGATTAAGTGGCCTTTTGAATTATATTTTGGGTTAGTAAGACTAGTGGAGGATAGTATGGTATTTTTATGTTGTCTTAAGACCAAAATCCAAATAAAGGCATTAGTTGTTGTTTTATGAGAGATAGAAGTATCATAATACAAAACACACTTAGAGAGAACTAGATAGAGTCTTGAGGAAGAGAAGAACAAGAACACAAAGCTTGGGTTTTGGGTTGGTTGGAACATCAAGAATCATTCAAACATCTAAGGTAAGGCGTTTGATTTTTCAATGCTTATAGTTAGGGTTTGATTTGGTATATTTTGATTTGGGATAAAATTGATGTTAGGATTCTTGAGATTTGTTGAGATAAATTAGGAGAGTTAATTTAGGTGTTAGTGTTGTGGGATTATTGTTATGTTAATAGAAATTAAATTAGGAAAACTAAATTATATTAATTAAGTTTAGTTTATAAACTAAAAGAAATAACAGTATAGTTTAGTTTATAAACCAAAAGCTAGCAGTATAGTTTAGTTTATGTATAGTTTAGAAAAAACAAAATGTAATTGAAGTTTAGTTTATAAACCATGTACTAGCAGCATATTCATAAAATGAGGTTTAGAAACAAGTATTAGCAGTATGCATTAATAAAATGAAGTTAGAAACGAAAAAGTAGCAGTATAGCAAAACTGAAGTACCAATAGTTTAGAAATTAAACATAATAGCAGTATAAGAAATGGAAAGTTAAGTTTAGAAAATTAATTAATTAATGTTTTGTTTGTCTTTTATTAATTTAATATATTAAATATTTATATTAATTAAATACAAATATGACATAAGTTAGCCAATTTAATTTGGAATCCGATTATGTCCAATTTCCCGATTTCGGCAATTTCGACGATGGAGCTAGTTGCTCCGAATTGAACGAAAATTGACGTGCTAGCTAATTCCGACGTGTATAACGTCGTGGTGATGTTAGTTTTTTGAGATTTCGAGTTTTTATGAAGTGACCCGAAATAGGCCAATTTACGGTTAATTTAAAATGGGTTGCGTTTTAGTCGGTTTAAGTCGCGTATGGACAATCCGATTGCGACGTTAATGATTATGATTGATGTCGATTATTATGAATGACTTTCGCGACGATTATTAATGTTTGACTATTTTTGTGTTTGAAATTTAGTGAATTATTTGATAATGATGTGGTGTGATTAAATATGATGATTGCGATAGTTTATTTATAATGAATACTTGATGATTTGATATGCGATGCGATGATATGTTTATCTTGATGTGGATGAATATGGCGATGTGGGTTTGATACCAATTTTGATGTGCGATGATGATGTTTTGTTATGTCGTGTTTGTGATGTCGTGTTGTCGAGTCACATACATTGCATTAGCGACGAGGGCTTTTATGCCAAGCGACGAGGGCTTTTATGCCAAAGCGACGGTGGGCTTTTATGCCGAATGTTCCTAATTATGGACAAAGCGACGGGTACCACATGCATAACATAGTCGTGTCTCATGGAGTCAGTTATGTTTATTTTTGAGTCTTTTGGCGTTGAGTTTTGTTTGATGGCTTATAATGAATTGCGATGTTATATGATACCTTGTTTTGTGACGATTTTTGTGTTGAACATAAAGTGATTATGATGTGATAATTTCATGAAAATTATGCGATGGATATAACAAGACGGTAAAGCGACGATATGAGTTTATGGAAATGGAGTTTATGTCTTGTTTTGACATTATTATGGTGATTATGTGATGATATTAAAGTGTTGATCTTATACACTAAATGATGATTTTAAAGTATGTGAGATTTGATATTGGTTGACATATTCTTATTAACCTATATCATTTATGATTCCAAAACTATTTATATAGTTTATCATGCCTTTAATTATATGTTTTGGAGTATCTCACCCTTTACTTGTTTCGTCGTTGACTTTATATTGGTAATGTGCAGGTGATCCGCGAGGATGATGAGGATTAGCTCGAGTCTCTTTATTTTGAGTCGCTCTGCTTTGATAGTAGTAACACTCGGGACTTGGGCGACGTTATTATTTTGATAGGATAGTTTATGTATACTATCTTATGACTTTATGTATTGATGATAACATGAAGATACGTACATTTTGTGAACACATCCGCTGTGCTGTGATTAGTCATATGTTTATATGATGATTTATGTTATGAATCAGTATATCCAACTTTTGATTTTGTGATGTGCATTATAATGCAAAGTGATGAAAAACACGAATATGTGATACCTTAATTTATGTTTGGATGAAATTTTGAAACTCTGATTTTATTATTAATTACGAGGGGTAGAATTGGGGTGTTACATTAGTGGTATAAGAGCAGGTCGGTCTGTCCGACCAAGTTGTTGAGTTTGTTGTCGTCTATCAATCAAGTATTGTTATTTGTTGATTCTAATCCTTATTTTGTTTTGAGAATAAGTTGTTATGGATGGAAGGAACACTGGTAGGAATGATGAAGCTCTTGCTGCTACTATGCAGGAAATGGCTCAGGCTTTCCAAAACGCGTCGAATGCTGACGAGAACGCTGGGTCTCGTAGTTTGGCAACCTTCCAAAGAGAGAATCCTCCTACTTTCCAAGGAAAGTATGATCCCGAAGGTGCTTTGGCGTGGCTGAAGGAGATTTAAAGAATCTTCTGTGTGATGGATTACACTCCTGTGCAAAGGACCCGTTATGGTACTTGTTGTACCCCAATTTTTGACCTAAGATCCCATTTTTATTTTTGCATTTTTAAAGATAAGTCAAGGTCACGAAATACAGTCGGTTTTAACCTCTCACCTTCAAGCATTGACTATCGAAGATTGTCAAGTGTTTTGAACATTTTTAGCATATGTATCACTAATTTCTAATCGCATACAAAGGTGTATGTTCATGTTTTCTTTTTTGTCGTGTGCAGAGACAGGTCTGAATCAAGAGCATCAGGTGTCGCGCCTCAATTAAGGTTTTGAGTCTCCCAAGCCAAAAGTACGGTTGATTATGGGTTCTCGAGGACTGATTCATCAAGGCACACTGTTGCATCCTTAATTTCGCCCCTAATATGTTTTAGTCGCACTTTCAGATCATATTTTGTTATTTGGTCACGATCATTAGTAAATATCTTCATTCATCACATTTTGCATCATTAGTCGTATTTAAGTTGATCAGAAAAGGTCAGTTTAAATCAAAGTTTGCATCGTCTTTCAGTTGTAAAATACCAGGCATTTTGCTTCATGCATTTTTATCTATTTACTCATTTGTTGCGTTCCTCCAAGTTGTTTATATGTCGATAATAAAAATATTTTGGTTTCATAGACAAACTGTTAAAAGCGATTCGACACTGTGCGGAAAATTAGTGAGAAAAATATTTCAAGTTTTCACCTTTTACCGATCATTTTATGAATCTGCGTTTCGCGTAGATTATGACGGTATGCTCGCTTTATTTTTCGATACAATTTGAAGTCTCGTTTTTAACCGTAAACATCTGTTTTAGCCCAGTATTTTTATTATCATTTTATTTTGATTTCGACTTCTTGAATATTTTTTTTATTATTTAATCTTTGTGACATGTAGAGTATTTTAACGTGTTCATTTTATTTTTTCGGATAAACTTTCGTCCATTTTTTATCGTTTTCGGTCACAAAAAAATATTAATTAGGCTTCGCTTAATTCTCATTGGTCGATAGCATAGTTTACGGATTGATAGAGATTGAATTCTCATTGGTCGAAAGCATGGTTTGCGGATTGATAGAGATTGAATAATATTGAACGGTCACGATTTAATTTTGAAAGCATATACTCCTCATCATTTTCTTATTTAAGTAACCTCTTTTATCACTTTGTACGGGGGACACACAACACCAAAAGCAACACACTTTATCATCATCTTCTGTCACAAATCTGCAACAAACCCTCTTCCCTAGCCTTCAACCATCATCTGCAGTTTCACCTCACATGTCAGCTATAGCATTGTTACACAAAGCAGCTCAGACGGGTTCAACCAACTCATCCCAACAACAATCCATGATCATGATAAGTGGGACCCACCAACACGGTCACGTGTCTCTTGATGACTCTCCCACAACAACAACAACGCTACCAACACTCTTTCATTTGCGCATCAGGAACATTCTAAGAATATGAACAGCCTTATTGGACAAGATAATGCTTCTTCTGCTGCCAACACCATCAACAGAATGTTCATGAACAACAAAGAGAATAACAGCAATACTGAGAGGATGCAGGACGGTTCGGCACTAACGATGCTGTCACCCACCCTTGAGTTGAAACCGAAGGATGATAATTCCTTCATGATTCAGAAACAGCACATTTCTTATGATGAATCCTCAAGGAACAATGAATTCGGGTTTGTTACTTCTGATTCCCTAGCTACCCTTCACGCAAACCTCCTCTGTTCACTTCTGTATCACCATCGACTTCAACAACACAACATCTCAGCTACACTTCCAGCCTCAACCGTGAACATCCATCATCGACGCACTCTGCGGAACTCCGTTCTCACACTCAGACCGGTACACAACCCAGCATACTCTCTCCAATCTCCAATCAACAACACACATACATAAGACACACACAACAAAAAACAACAGCAGAAACTTCCTCTTTCTCTTGACTGGGACACGTTCCATGATACGCCGCCGGCGGAACTCGTCGTGAAGCCGTCTGCTAAGGCTCCCGATCAGAAACCTCCGCCGTACGTTGACCTGGAAGGTCTCAAAGATAGTGAGCTCGAGGACGACATTCGGAGGAAGAAGAAGCTTCTCGAAACCAACGGTAAAAAAATTGCCGGACGGAGGCGACAAATTACGCTGTATGATCAAGCAGTTTGAAGAAGAGCTTCATAGACGGAAAATGAACCCTCGTCCTCAGAAAGTTCATGAGGAGCAGAAACATAGACAAGCTACTGGTAGCTCAAGTTCTGTCGGTGTGTCTAATAACTCGAGAGAAGAGAATTTGCCATCTCGTCCACAGTCGAAACCCTCTTTTGCATCTTGTTTTATGAAGAAATTGGAAGATAATACTAATTGTACAACTGGTGATTCATTTAGCAAGGAGAAGCAACAACAACCTGGCCGCCGCGTTTGCAAGTTTGAGAGGATGGAGACTCTGTTCGTTTGCAAAGATGTGAAAAATGTAACCTTTCTTTACCCTAATCCCTTTTATAATTATTGTTTTATTATAACTCTTTTTCATTTATTAATTTAATTCAATAATCCTAATATGATTAAGTAATGTGGATGGATGTTATTGATTGGGCCGGTCGGGCCATCTGAGGCCCATCGAATTTTTAATTCTGAAATTGTTTACAATAAAAAAGATAACTCCTGGGCCTTCTCTGGATGGGTTTTGCTCTCAATACAGAGCTTGCTATCTATACACCCTCCCAATTTTCTGCTTCACCTTTTCTTATAATTAGTTTAGTTCAAATTTAAATTGGCAATCTTGAGATTAATTTAGTTTATAGTTAAATTAGTTTAGATATAATTTATTAATTTTAGAGCTTTAATAATTTTATAATTTTCGAATTTTGTAATTAGTAGAATTATTTTAGTAAATAACCTTAGGATTTTAATTTAGTTTAAACAATTTTTCTAGATAATTAATTACATCCTCTTTATTTGTATTTAAACATTCTTTGCCGTTTTAATTTCTCGGTGCCCTTAGGTCATTAATCTGTTTAGTTATATTTATTTTCTTGTGAATTTTGATCGCTTATATTTTGATGTCTATTTTATTTTACTCGCTCCATTAACTCCAAGGGAAAGAATTAAATTTGTTGACTTCATGTCATCGAACATATCTCATACAATCGTGCGAATAGCCTCATTCATGTTTTGCTTGCTTACTATTTTTCCAAACTTAAGACAATTTTCCCAAAAGACTTCATTTTCAAACTCACTCCTTTTAAGTCAAAACTTCAACACTAGGTTGTCGTATCTTCAAAAATCTCGTCCATACCCATCTTTTAGCCAAACAAACCATTTTAATCAAACAAACAATTTTAACCAAAAAAACAGATATTTCAAAAGGTTCCTGCGGAGTACCGCAGATGCAGTGGGTGCTAATACCTTCCCATTGTATAACCAACCCCCGAACTCTCGATCTCTTTCAAAAAACGCATTGTATTTTTATTACTTTTAAGTATTATTTTACATTGTATATTTTAGGGTTTTATTTCGCTCTTTTCCCTTTTCCCTTGGAAACAATAAAGCGCGGTGGCGACTCTTGCTTTTTGCGAGTCAAGTTAATTAATAGCTTGATCTCCGATTTTCACCGCTACAGAATTGGCGACTCTGCTGGGGAAAGATTGACCTCTTGCTGGTCCATCCCTAAGTGGGTTAAGCCTAATTTGTTTTATCTGTTTTATCATTATTTGATTGTTTGATTATATGTATATATTGTGATTATTTGGGTGTTGATAATATTTACAAAGGACAAGTCCTATACCCGGACTAAGTTACACTTAGGAATAGGACGGGCGGTATAGTCATGTTAACTTTGAGGGAGTAATCCCGAAGAAGGAGGCATGAGATCCCCCACTCAGTGGAAGGCCCTTTTGAACATAATATTTGTTTACCGAGTAATCGGGAAGACATTATTATTTTCGACCTGGGAGCCAGAGAAGCTGGGAACCGTAGAACCCTAACCCATCTTGGCCTTTTAGGTGTAGCGCGGAGATTATAACGGAGTAATCCGGAAGTAATTGTTACGCGATGCTACGCTCGGATGAGTTTCTCTTGAGAATATTGCTGATTATTGAGTAATCAAGACGTTAGTAATATCCGAAAGAGGAATGTAGACTCCGGGAACTCTTAGAACCTTGTTCTACATGTGTGATTAAACCGTTAGTACATACCTTGGGGGTGTTCCTTACCTTGACTCCATGCTCGTGACATTAAACATTTCGACTTTATTTGTGACCTTGCTTGTGGTTGTTGCATAGCCATGCATTCATGCACCCATAAAACCCTTTTCACTTGACTTTGAAGGAATTTGGAGGTCTTTCTTTGTAAACATCACAAGTTTCGTCAAGCTCAATGGATCTTGGGTGTTGATAGGGCGAAAACCCTAATCCACCAAAATGGATGATTGATCTTGATGATAGCTTGATCAATGTTTGGAGCCAATTTAAAATTCATCTTCTATCTTCATACTTTGATGTTTACAACTTAATATCTTGAGTTCCTTGAAAATCAAATAAAAACTCTCTTTTGCACATCATACATCATTCTACATTTTTTGTTTCACTTTCAAGGGTCTTTTTCCGAGTCTTATTTTTCCTTTGGTCTCACCAGTACAACACTCGCGCTAAGAGAACAATGGATAATATCAAGCAAGAGGTTTCTGAACTCCGTAGAGAGATGACTAATTTGAAAGCTAGTGTGGAGCGCTTAACTGGTTTGGTTGAAATTCTGGTTGCCGCCCAAGTCAATCCTTCTAGGAAGGACGAAGCAATGATAAAAATCTTCACTGAAACTCTAAAATCATTCTCTCATGAGAAGGTGATGGTTAATGCACCTAATGACTTTCCTGACAAGGTGAATGTGGGAGTGCGTCTAGAAGAAGATGTTGGGAAGGGGTGTTCATATGAAGATGGTAGCTCAACTAATGGTGTGAAGAAGTTTGATAACAACTTTTCCAAGAAGAGAACCAGAGGAAGAAATAATCATTGTCAGAATCATCATGTTTCTCCTATTCATCAACAGAATCAGCAAGTTCCTAATCAGAGGAAAACCCAGTTCGATCCAATTCCAATTACCCATACAGAGTTGTTCCCTATCTTGATGCAGAGGAATTTGGTTCAGACCCGACCTCCACCGAAGGTTCCTGAGAAGATACATCGGTACTACAAAGCTGATTTGACTTATACCTTTCATCAAGGTGCTCCTGGGCATGACTTGGAGGGTTTCTTTGCTTTGAAGATCGAGGTTCAGAAGTTGTTCGGAAGTGGTATCTTGTCATTCAAGGACGTTGGTTTTGAAGTTCAAATCAAGCACGTGCCGAAGAGTAAACACGATTGATGGCCACTTTGAGTTTTGAAGGATGTTTTCGGTGATTCAAGTCCAGATGGAAAGCCTTCCCCAATCATTAACTTATTTCTGCTTTTCGTAACTTTTCTTGTTTATCAAAACATTGTTTGCATGTAAGAACTTGTTTGCATCTGAATGATTATCTTAATACAATGAGTATGTTTGTCTTGAAGAAATTCATTCGTTTCACTCATATTTGTTTTCAAATTTTAAATTTCTTTTTGCATTATGATACCAATTTGTTGCCCATTCTCTTGCCTAGGCAGAGATTGAAGGGAGGATGATGATCTAAAGAACACAAAGTCTCTGGTTGTTTGCTTTTGGATAAAATCTTGCTGATGATGTACAGGCATTGTTTCAAATCCCTAAACACCGGAGATATAAGGAAGATAATCCCTTGCTAACCCCTTTTGAGCCTTTGAAGCAGAAGTTTCTTTTTTATACAAAAAACCTTGAATTTTAACCTGGGGCAGGGTAGTTTTTAGTTAATCTGACTGAGTGTTCGAAATTCATAAGGAAGATGTTTTTTGAAGAGAAACTACGAGGGCTATCTTTCATGTATAATGAAGCCAGAAGATGTGGAATCATAATGTTATCCCTCATTCATCAAGAAACGAGGCAATCACAATCCTCTCAACAAGCAAATACAAGCTAATGTCACACATTTTGTTCAAAAAGTCAAAAATCGAGAAAAAAAGAAAAAGCCTGCTAAGTCAAAAAACATGAAAACGTGTGACTTAGGCAAAATTAAGGCACCCCGATGGACTATCAATTCAAAGGAATTAGTTCAGGCAAAAATTAGGGAAAATAAAAATTGCAAAGAAAGGACTACAAAGAAAAGTCCTCAGCAAAGAGCAAATTGGTGACTACAAACACGAAGACATGAGGGTGGTTTCTACTCCGAAAGCCTCGCCGTTTCCTTGACCGTCACAAAATCCTTTTGAAAGATGAACACTCATGTTGAATTAACTGAAGATAGGGTTGGAGAACATCATGAAGAATGGGTGGGCACCAAATATTTTGAGCCTTAAAATCTTTTTTCTAAAAACCATGAACCAGACCACGTTACAACCTTCAAAAGTCCTAATTAAAGCAAGGTTATTTTGAAAGCATACTTCAATGAGATAGTGTTCCTGACTCCCATGAATGTTCTAAATAGTTATGGTGGTATCATATGTTTTTCCTATACAAAAATAAATGGTGCTCTAACTCGCAAAATTTGTGCGATATCTTTCAAAATCTTCAAGACTGACATAACTGTTGCATTAGAATTTTCATTCTCATTGTAAACTTTTTCTAACTGCAAAACATTTGTTTGATATCAAGGAAGCTCACATAAGCACCAGTGATGAGTTTATTCTTTTAAGGCTTGAAACTATGTTGAGTAATTGGCGAATCATTTCAAGAAAAATCCTATGCAGGGGCATGTCACCTGCAGACCGTAAGCACGAACATATTGCTTCTCCCAGTTAATGCTTCTCCAACTTGTTTACCCTTTGGGGAAAAATGCGCAGACTTTGTTGTACCAACTACAGTCAATTCGGGGCAATCACGTCGAGATTTGATGAATCTCTCTAAGAGTTTGAAGACACCAGAGCATGGTGGATGCCAGGTCTTTTGTAAAATCCTCTTGAGACGATTTCTCCTCATCAACCAGATAGCTTGGGGCATGTTAGAAGTGAAGCAATTCGCAAGAATTGTCGTGCAACATGCAGCTCATCAGCAGTAAACTTGGGGCATCTAAAATTAGTCCCAGGGGCAATCCAGATTTGTCAAGATATGTTTTTCATACATTATCAGAGGGTGGTGTTCCCAGTATCTCCAGCTAAGCATGACTTTTTCCAGCTGAAACTTTGTTCGTGTTGTTATCCTTTCAATGGATTGTTTGCAATAGAAGACTGGACTTTGGGTTTTCTACCTGAAAATATCTTTCCCTCCATAGATATTTAAGCCTTGTAAAAGGACTTTACTCCAATGATGACTTTTGATCTATCTCCTGTAATGTTCCCATCCTATTGAGATTAGCTGAGTGTCGAGTTGTACTGTAATGTCTTATCATCTCCAGTTTATCCTCTATCTGTTTTGTCAGCATACGCATGACATTCATTTATTCATTCACACTTGCATCATGCACGCACAGTTGTATTTGTTGATGTCATTGAGTTCGTATACCTT